TTTGTTCTTAAGATTTATAATTTGAATGGATATGCCATTCCCATATAATTTCCTCAGTCGGATTTTCTTCCTGTTGTAGATATTTGTAAAATAATTTCAACCAATCACAGTGATGGTTACAGACCTACGTCTCTCCCTCGCGGAATGCTACATCCTACACATGTACAGCCAGATAAAAATGTCACCTAAAGACTCATTGTGTACCGGTTGGAAATGTCTGCAACTGCACATTGCTTGATGGTGACACGTTCTGTTGGCGCAAGTATGGAGCTTAAATTGCGAATTTATAAAGATTTATTATCTGAATATAGCGTTAGTATCTTCCCCATATCATAGTGCACAGAGATCCTTGGATCGCCCAATAGATCTTGCGCTCCAACGGTTAAGAGTTGGTTAAAAAAGAAACCAAAGTTACTTTGGTTTGGTTACTCGAGTCGGTGCGAGCCCTTATATACGTCCGTTCATAAAAGTAGAACTAGGGTTTTAAAACCAGAATAATGAGTCGCTTATCAATCACGCCCTTCTCACCTTAATGAAGTCGCTGGCATGTTCTGGGTAGGAACCCAGGAGATCGTGTGATCACAGATTTTCCCGTCTCGTTTAAATTAATTTAATTTCCTTCGGGAATTTGGGTATAGGGACCCTCGTCGATGATGAGCTGGGCATGGGAATCTGGACTAAGAATTGATTCCGATATTAAGATTACATAGAATCGTGGCTTCCGCTGTGCATTTCTGAACCGGGAAGCTTGCATTGCAGAAGCTTGGAAAGAATTTTCACGTTACCATTTATTAATGCGTACATTTCGTCGCATGTAATTACATGTTGTGTTGAGTATGGTAGATGAAATGATTTTTTATCAATACCCACAATAATTATAGCATTGTTGTTAAAATGAACGTTAATGACCGTTGGTCACTCACCGCGTTGAGGTTCTTGCCGAACGCCTGCCAGTATTGTGGCTTATTCCCGAACAATGAGAAACTGATCACCTTCTGCCCTCCGCCTGCCAGCCACGCCCTCCGGCCGCAGGCGCCGCCCGCGTCCTCCCTCGAGAGGTTGCGACCCTGCTCTGGAAAGCACCATTTGCCATGGCAAGGGCAGTCGCCTCCGTCCCACCAAGGCAATGGATCCTGCTTGTCGCCAGCATAAAAAGTGGCACATGGATGAAATAACAAATGAATGATTATCAATATGAATATGTATATTATATATATTATATATATATATATATATATATATACATATATATATGGTCCTAGGATACTATCTTGAGGGGACATTATGTATCGGAAGTAATGTTGCCACATCACGCAGTGACAAAGCTTCGTTTCACGTGTGGATAAAATGCCACGTGGATGACACATTGCCATTTATGTTAGTACATTGCAAAGTTTTGAAATTACAGAAAAATACTTTAGTTTATGGAAAATATAATATTAGTATCAGAGATATTAACCATATATCATTTTTTTTCTCTCTCTCTAGGTATTGATAAAATATTTTGTGATAAGCATAACTTTATGGGTGTACATGGTACAGCGATGTGAGTAATGCAGCCAAGGAGATCGAACACATTCTCGTTAGCACTCGTTGAAGGATCCTCCAGAACTGCAGGGTGTATAGGAGTGCCGAGTTCTGTGGTACTGACCATAGATTGGTTGTGGCTATCCTCCAGGTTCACTGCAAAACTCCCCAGCGCCCCAATGACCACCCTAGGTGTTTCATTTGGACAGGCTGAAGGAGAGGGAGTGTGCTCGTGGGTTTGCTGAGACAATCTCTGATCGCTTCACAGCGCTCGACAATCTGTCAGACCCTGTACTTCTGTGGGACACCTTCAAGTGCGAAACGCTTGATGCAGCCCAAGAATCGATTGGAGAACGCCCGAGGCAAGACAGAATTTAATCTCTCAAGAGACACTGGAAGCCACAGACGCTTGCCGTACGGCTTGTCTGGCAGGGGATCGGGATTTGCACCATTCTCAGCTGCGCAGAACTCGGTCTCTGTTAAGAAGGAACAAGGAGGTCGAAGGCCATTTCTCAGTAAATGACCTTCGCCCTGCATACCAAGCCCAGAGAAAGCTGAATTCCAAGCCCTCTTCACAGGTGACTGCAGTTCGCTTAGTAGGTGGCCAAATCGTCTCAGATCCTGTTGCGGCGCGGGAACGTTGGGCTGAGGTTTTGAGCAGTTGTATCAGGATGACCCACCAACAGTTAACTTGGATGCGGGTAGTGCCGTGATTCCGCTGCCTGACCCACCCATTAGCGAGGACCCACCCTCCCTAACTTCAATTAGGGAGGAGTGGTAAAGCAGCGGGTATTTGCGGTATCCCAGCCGAACTGTTAAAGGCTGGTGGTGAACCTATGGCGCGGGGGTTGCATGCTGTCCTGGCTGCCATCTGGCAGTCTGGTACCATTCCCCCTGACCTGTTGAGGGGTGTGGTCATCCCTCTCTGGAAGGGGAAGGGGACTGCAGCAATCACGCGGCATCACACTGCTCAGTGTACCTGGCAAGGTTCTTGCCCACATCCTTCTGAGACGTGTTAGAGACCACTTACTGAGGCATCAGAGGCCAGAGCAATCTGGATTCACTCCTGGTAAGTCCACAAAAGACCGTATCCTTGCACTTCGAGTCATTGTAGAGTGCCGTCGTGAATTTGGACGTGGGCTGCTTGCACCCTACATGGACCTCAAGAAGGCGTTCGATACAGTGTATTGGGAATCACTCTGGGAGATCCAGAGACTGAGAGGAATTCTAACAAGGATTATTGAACTAATAGGAAGCCTGTATACTGGTGGAGCAACACTTTGCCGATGATGTTCCTATTCTATTGGTCTTTGGAAACCCTAGTGGTGGCTCTGGATCCATTTAGTAATGAAGCAAAGACTTGCTAGGAGAACCTGTTTGGTCAGTACGTGCTTGCGGCGAGGGCATTGAAGTCATAGGGAGTTTTACATACCTTGGTAGTGCAGTTCATAACTCTGGGCTGTCAGACCAGGAAGTCAGCAGACGGATTGGCCTGGCAGCAGGGGCCATGAATTCTCTCGACAAGAGCATTTGGAGATGCCGGCCCTGTGCAGAAGGGCCAAGCTATGGGTTTTCAAGGCCCTGGTAATGCCAGTTTTGCTCTACCGTAGTGAAACCTGGACATTATCCAGTGTTCTGGATTCTCGTCTTGATGCCTTTTGTAATAGGTCCTTGCGCCGGATCATGGGGTACTGTTGCCGTGAGACTGGCACAGGACCTGTTACCTGCACAATCCGGGTTCGCCAACTCAGGCTATATGGCCACCTGGCTCGCTTTCCACAGCCTGATCCTGCTCATCAGGGTTGTCTCTGTAAGAGACAACCCTGGGTGTAGGAGGCCTGTGGGACGACCTAGGAGGTCGTGGCTTGGGCAGATCGATCAAACCTGTCGTGAGGAGCTCGAGATGGGCCGAGTCCCTGCCTGGCGGCTTGCCATGAGGGATCCAAAAGGTGGACGTGGCTATGCGCCCCCGTCGGCGTTAGCTTCTAAGATGATGATAACTTTATTGGTCAGTAGGGATCACCATTTGCTTTGGCTATTTGATCCGGATATTCAAAATCTAAAAGGATATCAGTTTCTGATTTTGCAATAAGGGATTTAATCGTCTTATTTACGAGCTCGTACTTCTTCTGACCCGAGGGATACTTCCTGCCAGCTGCATGATGCTCGCGTTTCAGAGCTAATTTGTGCTGCTCCTTTTGGCGTTTTACAGTGAGCAGCGGTGACTGAGGATGGTCCAGCAGCATCCCGGTAAACCTATTGTGCCGTCCTATCAGCGCATTTTTTGCTCGGGGCAGATCATCCTCCACTCGTTGATACGTGTTGTATGTCTGATAGGGAAATGTCCTAGGAATTCCCATGGCACCTAACCTAACCTGACCAGAGACACACGGCTGAAGGAAACGCTGAAACATAAGGTCATCCGCTCCCAGTGTGGAAGCAGTAGCGGAAGTTAGAGCAATTAGGGCAGGTAAGGTCAGCGGAGGACCAGGTTATGCGAGGACAATTCGTGCAACACAGTCACCGCGACATCCGCCGGATATTGAGTCCCCCGTCATAC